CCCCCCCCTACTGAGACGGTCAAAGATCAACAAATTAAACCAACCATCTGCATCGTATATATTTGCGGCATTTATCACAATGTTAGCAGATCTCTGTGAACGAAGATGACAAAGTTAATAGCGGTGATCCTCCTACTCGCCAACTGTCAAGTGTTGTTTTGTGCTGTGCATAAGACGCCTGGTAATAAATTGTTCCTTGAAAATCGTTGAAAATTATACAATCGAAGCAACGTGTCGTCGCTTAGTGCCGATTAATAGTGCAAGTATCTCGACGTGTTCTTCGAATCGTTTCAGCGTTTTCCACTTGCGGAAATTTTATATTCGCAATTGTGTAGCATCCTCGTGCTTCTTTTCTCTATTACGATCGATTTTCTCGAGTGAAAAGAAGTAGCAATTGCAAAATATGGATTGTAAATATAAGTTTCGGTTAGACCTGCATGAAGTCGATATGTAGCGTAGCAAATTATATAACGCTTCTTCGATCGCAAGTCCTATTCGAAGATTTGACTATTTCACTGAATTTCGATTCCAATCGAAATCTATAATCAATTTTCTTAGTTAGTTTGGTTTTACAAATGTTTATTTCAGTTCAACGAACCGGCGATATCGTTTTCTAACGCCATAAATCTATCCAGCTATCTAAATCCAACGAACGTGATTACTAACGAAATTCAGCTTAATTATCTTAGGCTTGCTTGAGAAAAGTAGAGTATGATATTTATTCTACATAAAGCAATATTCGTGTAAGTCGCCAATCATTTTTATCCGTGTTTCTATAAAAAAGATTTGTAAGCGATATGAAACAAGATTGCGCTTATTGCTTATAGCATGTCGACCCGTAATGTCAAGAACGTTCGTTTATCGTTGCCTTATCGTTATCATTATTTAGTCGGTAACTGACGATTCGAGGACATGTTAATTAATTATTTTTAAGCCAATACGATGACATGTAATACGATGATGTTGGTGAATAAGCCGCTAACAATAAGGTAATATCCGGCTTAGATCCTTCGACGGAAATCGTCATTTCGATTGTTATTTCAATCGTTATCGCACGACGCATCTGTCACCGAACGTGTCTATCGTATCTATGAAACTAACTAAAAAGAAGACAAAAAAGACGAATCTAAAATAGATTATTTCCATTTGAATAGAACATTGTCGGAGAAATGGTCGGTATTACCTACTGTTTTACTACTTCGCTTTCCGATATCGATCGAATTTTTCAATTTTCCTCGACATTTAGTACGTCCAAGTATAATATCAAGATCAGAATGGGGAGCCAACGCACCAAAGTCAACCCTTAGGAATCTCGCAGAGGAGCCTGCCCCGTTCGTTATAATTCATCATTCAGCGACTGATGGTTGCACGACTCGAGCGATTTGTCAAGCCAGAGTGAGAAGTTTTCAGGTGATTGACCCAGTCTTTTCCGCTTGACAAACGGAGAGTTTAAACGAACCGTTTACGTCGACAATATAATTAACAAATTATATTGCCGAAATATAATTAACAAATTTCCATTCTCAAAATTTCGTTTCTCAAGTTCAGGGCCGGATTAAAATTTCCGAAGCCTTGGACCGTTGATCCAGCCGAGGCTTCCTTTCCAATCGATATAACGGTTTTCTTTGATTTATTAAATGCATTTAGAACCATCACATGAACCAGAAAGGCTGGAAGGACATAGGTTACAATTTTTTGGTTGGCGAAGATGGAAACATTTACGAAGGAAGAGGATGGGGCAAACACGGTGCGCATTCCACACCTTACAATTCGAAGAGCATCGGAATTTGCATGATTGGCAATTTTGTTGGTAAGTTTGCTTGTCGTTGTCTTAGTAAGCAACACGACGTTTATCGTTTGTCGTTTATCGCGTGACGCGTAACGCGTAACGCGTATCGCAACTTCTACCGTAGAAAATCCAACGAATCCTCTAAAATCTTTTTTAATAGAATCCATCCAAAATGGTAGAATTACAGTTTTTATGGGATTTATTGTCATTGAAATGTTCACAGGTCATAATCCTAGCGCGGCTGCGATAAAGGCAGTTAAGGATTTGATCGAGTACGGTGTAACGCTTGGGAAAATACAAGAGAACTATACGTTGCTTGGCCATCGACAAACGACGTCAACTTCCTGTCCAGGCGACAGTCTCTATCAACTGATTCAAACGTGGCCTCACTGGTCGTCGATCTGATAATTCTTCGACGGAAAGCATCGTTGCATAATCGATTTATTTTAGACGCTGTATCGTACATGTTTTCGAAAAGAAGTAAACGTTGTTCGCATCGCAGTTCTCAGACGTTGCGTCTCGTCGATTCCTCGCAATTTTCATGAAATCATTTTTCTACCAATTGCACGTAAAGCGTTGCGATACCATTCACTGAATTATCGTAAGTATCTTGCTCCGTTCTAACGCAAATGTCCACGTGAGAGAAATCGGGCGAATTCCTGCTAACGTCGTTGTAGCGGCTTTTGTCTCTAGCCTGAAAGATATGTGTCGTAACGAGACGCGATCGTGTCGTAACGAGAACAGGCTGCCGAGTCTTTAAATCTACTATACCTGAAGCGGAATTGGCCGTAAGAATTTTTCGTTTAATTCGGGAATGCACAATTTTGTGCCATATGGTATCCCGGAATCCAGGTCCATGGAGACTGTCACAAATTCTGCACGACCATCCAGATAATCCTATAACGAAACGAGTAACGATATCGCTGTTTCCTTTAATCACGAGATAGTTACCAGTACGCGATAACGATATAACGAAGAACGAAAGAACAAATATCATACTGGTTAGAAAAATAAGGACGACGCTCTGATCGAGAACAAACCTGTAGATTCCTCAGTTTCCTCGTTCTAGCATCCAAATAGTCAAACTCGTTGTCACTATCAAAAACGGGATAATAAGCGGTCAGGGTCACGTTGTAATAAGCACGACCGCTGCAACTGAGCTCCGTTGACCGCGTATCTATTTTCAGTGCAAAATTAACTATTTGAGAAGAAAAATATATAAAGCGCGAATAAAAATGTAGATATAAACATTTATTGCTTTATAATTACCGCTGGCAGAGGCGGCTGAAGCGAAGAAGAGAAAAAAGAAAAGTATCAACGCCGGTTTGTCCATCGTGTCAGTAATGATTTTACGCGACATGATCGATCGCGCAACACGTCGATATACCGACTAACTTTGTCCCTGCGATTCGCAAAATACATTGTGTCAGCAGCTGTGCCAATCGCGCTGGTATTTGTCCATGAATTGTCCACGAATCGAAGACAGAAAGGTCGATCCACGTTTCCACTATAATGCGTTCAGCTGTAAATAATATTAACCAATTATTAGGATTATATAACTTTACGTTTAAGAACGTTTACAATTGCAGGCAAACAATGTCCAACGTCTAACTAGGCCACTCGTTTGCCTGCGCTACATTGGTCATTCGATATCGAATTCCAGGCTCGTTCGTATAACAAAAGATTCAATGACTGTCCCGAGTCAGCAATAAAGCACGGATACCGAACATAAAGGGAGAAATTTTATTTTAATCGAGACACGACAGATTTTCAAATCTCGCCGTTTCTCTTATCGTAACGCGTTTAAATTCCATTCTTTTGTCTTTTTTTTTTCTTTTTCTTCTTTCTCGAAACTCGAGGCTTAAACTTGAGGCTTGAGGAAAAATCGTGTTCTACGTTTTTCATTTTTTCTCGCGTGAGCGCATATGTGAAATAATCTACTGCTGACCGTTTACTCGCAGTCAGTTCCTAATTAGTCGAATTCGCACATGCCAAACAAATTTTCAAATCCGATTTTCCCATCTTTGTTTAAATTATTTCTCCTTTAAACGAATAATTCGGGCTTGATCGGTCGGTCGCACTGACCAGAAAATTTCGTTACTTTCTTTCTTGAAATGACACGACATACTGCGTATACATATAAGTGTATAAGTGCTATACTGTTCTTGAATAATGAAAAGCATGCCTGACTGGGACACGTGGAAGACACTGCGCGCTTCCAGTCGACCAACAGACACCTTAGTATTCGTATGTGCCTTGTCGTGAAAATTTATTTTATTACGAGTACGGATTATTACAGCAGCGAAATGTAAATGGGAAACGATCGCTAAAAAAAACCACAGATCGCAAAGTTCTTTCACGAAAATGGCGTGACTTGCAACACATAAAGATGGTTTGTTATCGTATTGGAATATTCGCACACACCTGTTCCACAATTTTATTTTCTTCTTAAATCACCCTCAATTAATCGTCGTTGTACAAATTGGAAACGTCCAAGTAGCATTTTTTCCGCATGACGCTTCGTTTTCGTGAAAATCCAGTTTTTGATTATCGATTAACGAGCTTATGCTCGAACACGACCGATTCCGACCCAGACAGAATAAATGATTAGCAGCAAGTCGTTCTACGTGTGAAAATAGGTCGAACGTGTGGAATAGAATTTTTCCACAAGACGTTTTCGTTTTAACGTCAAAGTTTCAAACTTTAAAAGTTTTGGAAAACTCATATCTGTGGACAATTAACATATTAAATAATGATAATTAAAATATATAATAATAATAAGCGTGTCGTGCTTTTCTCCGTGGTTCTCGCTTAAAACGCTTAAAACGCTTAGAAACATAGCTTATAAAGATAGTTTGAACTTGCCAGAATGACTCGATATATAGTTATCCTCTTCGATGGTTGTACGCATTTTGCTTTCGTTTTCGTTTCCGTACTTTGGAACCTCGATATTAAACAATCGACGCGAATGACGATTGCACTACTTAACGACCGCGTGTCTCCTCGATGCGACGATAATATTATACATACGACCGACGCAAGATTCACGCGGCGACATGCTTACGTGATCGATGTGTCGTTGCTCCAGAGTATCGATCCCGGTGGTCGAGGCGCAAACTAAATAAGTAAACGAGGTAAACGACTAGCGAATGAACGAAACGATCAACGGTCAAACTATCTTGAACGTAAAACGTAAAACGTAAAAGTCGATAATCGTTGAGTTCGAGTCCGTTCCACGATTGAACGTCAGCGATGAATAAGAAGCACTTGTGTCGTTCAAAGGATTTTTCTTACCGAAACGATTCGATAAACCTGTACGATAAATATTTACGAAGGAAATGCAAAGAAGGTTGTTACATATGAAACAACTGGATTACCTGGCAATACCTCTCTTCGAATTTCGCGTTCGAATTTATCGAAACTGAAAGCAAATACGAAAGAGAATATCGTTAATATGGAAATAAGAATCGGCCGAAAAGTATAGAAAAGAGAAGGAATACAAACTCTTTTTAAGTCTATAATTACGGTACAGCGAGCATTTCCGCTATGCGACGTAAGAGGAGAGGAAACTTTGAATCGAAAATGATAAAATCAATGGATCGTCGGTTAAGATTCTGGCGGAATCGTACGTATCTACGGAATCTGGCCGAAGCTACGGAACGGTATGAACGCTGCTTTTGCTTGTTACCAATTCGGCTTGTTACCGATTCGGTCAAAAACCAGCCGTTGTCGCAAGAAGGCCGGAAAGAACAATAACATCGGTGACGGTTGATGCCCGCGATTGGAACGGGTAGACCGATAGAATTAAGAACCAATTACCACAAAAACGAAGAATTAATTACGATACGTAATATCTGTCACTTGCGTTCGTGCCGTGAAAACGTCATTTCCACGAAAAGACTTTTCCTCCTCCGTATTGGCCCGTATGAATTTCTTACGTTCCGTCCAACGACAAGATACTTTCGCTGGTGAATTCCACGTTGCGCGATCCGACGATTAACAGTATCTTCTAATTTTCGAGTCTTTGATGACTCGAAGAAGTTCGTTTCGAAGGGAATCACCGAACGATTTCATGTTGACCTTGAGCAACTTTTTTAGTCGGCGCGACGGTGACGGGCGCTCAAGGTTCCCTAATGCTTTCCTTGCTACTGTGATTCGTATCTCTCGTACCGTATCTCATTAATCATCAGCTACGTCATACTTGATTATTTGCTAATCTACCAGAAAAGAGAAATGTGCCAGAGAACATCTAACATCGATAGGTAAAATAAGGTCAAGTATGACGAAAAAAAAGAGAACAAATTTTCCAAAATGACTTTCTTACATTTCGAGCGACAAAAATCTCTCTTCTACAATGCCTAAAAACTCGAAGCAACTCTAATAATCTCTAATAATAAATCAAGTAATTCCCCTAGGCTTGAATAATTTAACGATCATCTTGTTGCGCATATACTGTGAAAATTCCACTTAATTCGCCGAAGGAAATACCTGCGTTCCACTTTTATGCTTAGATTGTGCAGCGACTTCCAAAAGATTGGTATGAATTTTTAATGAAGAAATTAAACGTGCGAAAATACGCGTTTTTTCTTCGTTTCTCTAAAATCGAAATCCTATCTGTATACGTGGTTATATCCGAGCACTATACGAAAAAGCGCCACAATCTTACAAAACGCTGTTATATTCGCCATTGTGTTTCATTTCCTGGTTCTTCTTTTCCGTATACTTGGAACGTCCGGTCTCGATGACCCGGCCAATCCTATGCTAACGTGTTCATAGGTGGCGCGCGTCGCGACGCCCTGCATCGACTTCATTCGCCGCGAGACTCTTCCTCGTATCGCACACGTTCTCTTCTCCATCTCATCTCCCGCCGTTCATTTCCATTGGTTCGTGCCGCGAACTATGACTTGGATATGACGAGAATCTCGTGACGCCAAGTCAATCAGGTAATTCATCGAGGACGATTAAACGATGAACGATGAACGATCGGCGAGAACATTATATAAAATCGCTTATATACGCACGATACACATGCTTCTTCACTTACGTTTGCGTTTTTATTGCAATCTATGCACCTTGTATTTATTTATTTAATGCCATGTATTTATATTTCTTCTTGTCTCCTTCATTTTTCTTTAAACAAACGATCTTTTGCGTTAGAAAACGCGATTTACGCGTAACGGTACGTATAATTGGTTTAGAAGGTTTGATGTAAGTAACGTTGGCATAGGCATAGCTATAGATATAGGTATAGGTATATGCCACGTATATAAGTTTCATTCTGATCTTTAGATCGCTAGAATACATTTTCCGGCCGCATATTAATAAATTACCTTATCATCGCATACAACGGCAACACGCATACAATTTACGTATAATTATCAGCCAGTTTCCTACAGGAGTAATCAACCAATGACCAAGCAATACTTGTACATACACCAATAATATAAAAAATTACAATTGAATTTGCCGTGCATCTTATCTTCGCTTTTTTTATCGACTCTGTGTCTTATTGGCTTGGCTGTGTCTTCGCAAATTGGCTTCTGTGTATTTCAAATTAAGATAGGATACCTACTAGGAGTAGACGAAACCGTTGAAACAAACCAGTCGTACAACTAAATAGCAGAGAATAAGAGAATTCGTACATCTTTTTCTTCCCATGCGAATATCTTCTTCGCGAAGCAAATGGAATTGAAAACACGCAATTCACAGCGATAACGTCAAAATTATTTCACACTCTGTATTTGCGTTTGACTATATTTTTCCTATATTACGTTTGGCTTCACACGCGACCAACGAACCAGGGGATTCACCGCTGGATATTCTACCAGGAAAAACTAAATTGCGATGTCTCGATAAAAGCTTTTCTCAACTAATTTTATTAATTATAGTAAAACACGGTCTTTTCTATTTTTATTTTTATCCATTATCTTCTTATTTCATCTTTCATCTTTCCTCCAAGTTGATTCTCTTTTCAGATTTCACGTCCTAGGTATCACGGCTGTCATACTCAAAGTTACAGAGTACAATCTTCAAATTCTTCGACTTAGCAATTTACGGTGGCCGTTATTTATTTGCGTTACTTTTGCTAATAAGATAATTTGGAGAAGAGTTTGGAATTTACGGAGAAAATTCTGTTTCGTTTATTTTAAAGTTGCAAGCAACGTCGTGAAACGAATTTATTTTATTCGAATAATCTGCGATTCGATACACAGCTTGGACAGTGCAGGATGCAGACCGTTTCGATTGGATAAGCTTGATGGAGAATCAATAGCGAGTGTTTCAAGGATTTATTCGTGGCAGCGTATCGCCGCGAATTAACTTACAACTTTCCGCGAAAAATATTTTTTCCAACGCTTTTCTCCGTAACTTCGAATAGTATGGCAACTTTCGTGAAATCGAATTTTGGCTGGAATCGTTAGAATCATAATCGATCGTGTTTAATTATCGTGGTGTAGATGAACTCGACAACGTTGAAATCTTGGCTACTGCGAGGAGAACTTGAGAAACTAGAACATGTCGTTCTAGAAGGACGCGGGGCACGTCTGTTGGGTGAATATTCTCCAGACCTGAGAACCAGAGTCTTCCTAAAAGGACTCCCAAATTATTTGGTAAGCTATTAGTATTACATATATTAGCTTTACACGAAGAAAAAATGATGAATCTGTCTGTATCTTTCAGACAAAAATCTCTTTCGTGCACGACGCGGTTTCGCGCGGTTCTCTGGCGGAAACGCAAAAGCTCGTATCGGAAGAACCTAAAAAAAAGCTGGCGATTGCGAAAGATCCAGCTGGCACTCCTTTGCTTCACAAGGCAGTCTACCACGATCATCAAGATATCGTCGAGTGGCTTGCGCACAATTTTCCCATCGCTGTTCAGCAGAAAGATAAAGTAATCTTTATCATACGATCTTTTTATTCTCGACTATCTTCTTCTTTGTTATCTTTTTTCTTTTTTTTTTTTTAGAATTACCTTGTATGAAGTTTTCAAGTATCGTTCTTTTTATATTTGTTCTCTCGTTTTCCGTCGATTTAAAGTGAATTTACCGCATCTCTATCTCGTACAGAACATCTGTGGTCGCAATCCAACTCGTAATAGTCTGCCACTTAAACTTACTTGAAAGTACCTTTTATCTTTTCTCAACCCATCTAGATCGGGTTAGATCAGGAGAAAAACTAATTTTGACGCGAAAGTGAAATAGGTGCTGCTTACGAATATACGTGTGTACAAAAAGGTCACAGATGAATAGTAACGAATAAATCAAAGATGATATAACGTAGTAGTAGTTTGTTTCGCTTCGTTTTTGTTCTCGATAAAAGACGAAAGAAGAATCGTGTAAAAATAAAGTAAGATTGGCTCCTAAGTGACAATCTGAAATCCACGTAAAACTTTGGTCTAAAGTTGGATCGAACTAGGTTGTCGATGTCCAAACCTAGCGTAATTTTACTTTCACTTTGCCAGACTTGCAACATTTCCAAGTGTCTTTATCGCATCGTGCAACCGTCCGCATAAGGAATAGAATTTTCGAGGCTGAAGTTTCGCTCAGGTTCTCGAAATCAAATTCGAATAACCTACTGAGAATTACAGCTTTTTAACACGTAAACTAGCACGCGAATTCTATGTAGATATTTCGCCGTGGGTATTGCGATCCGCAAAGCAAGGCTTGCGTTATTTTAATAATTTTAAAAAATTTAGTAGGAATGTATATATAAATGTAGTAAACTCGGCTCACCGATGACCACCGTAGCAATCAACGAGTTGAAAATTCTTAGAAATATTCGTAACTATTCCACTCTGTTATCGGTGACTAATCGTAAAGCGAAAAATTTAGTCAGTCGTGCTTATGCTTGTTCCGAGATACCCAACCGGCGAATAATAATGGAAAAGTCGTTTTTCCTAACGACGCGACGCTCGTCTTTTCCGCATCGCGTGACGCGGCTAATAACAAAGCGTAAACCACCTGTTCTTCCCCGCAGTCATCATGGACTCGGCGTCCAGGCGCACGCAGCGCCTACAACATGGCAAACGTCAGCTTCTCAAACTTTTCCTGCCCTTAATCTCCATTCCATCTTTATATTCGCCGTTTACACGTGTATTCGCTGTTTAAGCGTCTGGAAATATTCATCCTGTAACGGCCATCGCGCTTTTTATTCCCGAAACCTATTGCTTGCTCGAGTTATTCCGAGAACGGCGAATGTTTATGAGAACCGTTCGATAGGTCCGATCGACGTTTTCGCGATAATCAATCGATCGCTGGCAATTCTCTCAATTTGCAAAATCCTGAGAAGCTTCTATCGTATTTTCAATTTACGGTAAATGCGTCGATGATTTTTGCACTTTGTAAATAATTCAGACTGCGATTAAAACGTCGTATTTCTTACTCTTAGGAAGGAAGAACCGCGTTGCATTACTGTGCTGCTTGCAAAGATCCCGAGGCAATTTGGGATGTTCTCATAGAAAACGACTGTGACGCGAGCATTATCGACAAAAAGGGTAATCCCGCTTCGTACTATTTGGAACATAGTTCGGAGGTCGAGCTACCGGAAGCGGAGAACATGTCTCGTCGCAAGACCAACTCTGGCAAGGAACGTGAGTCATTTTCAATCACCCATAGTTCTTTTAGATTTTATACCTTACACGATGATTGGACCACATATCTCGGATTCCTCGGGTTTCAATCGTGTTTCTATCGGTACGCGCAGAAGCCTGCAATCGTTTAATTGGCAAAATATATTACACGGAAATTTCTCAGGTCCTGAACAGATAAAAGTAGTCGCGAACTTTTATATTAATTGGAACAACTCAATTTTGTCAAACGTACGATTAATGGCTCGTTATAATTAACATTATGATTAAGAACAACTGGAAGAATAGACGTGGGGATGCATCGTGCACTTGGCTCGTTCCCCACTTTGGCACAGTTACACATTCGCTTATACGCTTATACGCTATAGTCTATGGAATCTTCTCGATAATGACCCGGAACAATCGATAAAACTAAAGTCTGTACGGCAAGGAAAACCGCTTCGATCGATAGGATGACGACACGCTCTGGTCGATTGACCAACGAATTATTTAAGAATCCTCGAAAACTACTACTGGCGGAAATCCTATTGACGTTATAACGATGTAAAGATAGCTTGTCGTAGGCCTTCTCGATCGCACGACGAGATTATTCGGTAATGGAAAGAACAAGTCGGCCATAGTATATTCCGACCAATGTTTACGAGTAGGATCAAAATTCTAGCTATAGTAAGACGAAAATGACACATTTCTTTTGAGAATCGGCAAACGAGTCTGTTTCCTGAAAAAACTCGTATAACGTTATTCCACTGGCCGTGTATGTACGAAGCCGCGTACTAAACTGTTCGGAGAAAATGCGAATAATACCTAGTTGAACAAAGTCGAAGGCGAATGGGCGCAATTTTATTGGAATAAATTTATAAACGGCTGGAACTTGCTTCAAAGTATCGCAGATTCGAGTAACGAATCGAGCGAGTCGAATGTAATGAAACACTGGATTTTCAAAATCAACCGATACTCTAATAATACCGGCCATCAGACTAAATATAATTGGAATCGTTGTATTTGCCTACTATTTACTCATTTCACGCTATAACTTATCGTTAGTGTTAGTATGCAATACGTACAATGGCATCTCTGTCAACATCGATCGATCTATTTACCAAGAAAGCAAAGGATACGTGAAAGGATATGTATATAGGTAGATGCGAACGTGCGAGTGAGTGACAGGGTCCGTGCACTCGGTTGGCTTTTCAAAAATTGATCAATCCGCTGGAACATGCGATCTACGTCAAAGTGAAACGCTATTCTCGAAAGGAGGAGACGTTCGACGGATATATTATTATAATTTTAATGAAATCCAAATACACCTGTATCTCACATTTTCCATTCGACAGTTTTATATACGTGCACATGTTTAGTCGTTTACTTCAAACTTGCAAATCCATCGATATTTTATTATTTGTATATATTTCGCCTTATTATACACGTATATTCTGGCTTACAAGAAGAATCGCCGATTTCACCCAACAAAGATCACGATTATCAATTTATTGCGTCAGCTGATCAAGTGTTTACGGCACAAGAGACAGGCAAACACGATTATCGAATGTACGACGTAATTCTTCGTCGAAAGCACGCGCAAGATATCTCGTTTAATTTCCTCTGCGTCACTGTCTCGTTAAAGTTATGTAAAAATCGATGATTCATCGATAATACCGAACGTGTGTCGTAACAATGCATGTTTAATTGGAAGGTTGTAGGGACTCGTCTAAATGATATTTATTAAAAACCGTAACGACCTGCTGTTAACTCGCTACAGTTTTTACAGGGAAAAAGTAGCGAACATTGTTGACAGAAAATCGATATCTGCCGGTAAGAGGATTCCCCCGAGTATCTAAAACATTTATCACATATCCTCGACACGCGATGTATAGTTAGAAATCTTGTCGCTTGTAGTAAATCCTTAATGAAGCAGTTGTATCTTGGAGAGAAAAGGTCGCGTCGTTATAATTTTTATCCTGTACGTTGTTCGTAAGCTTCTTGCCACGTATACAGGCACACGCCCCTATAGTATTTAATACGTACGATTGCTTTAACGAATATTTCAAACTTGCCAGACATACCGAACCATAGTCGTCGATAAAATTAAACGGAATTTAAAAAAATAAGACGATACGATACAATTACGCCATTTTTCCATTGAACTTGTCCAACAATTTCTGTAGCTGATACAGAATTTTTTTTTTTTTTTTTTCTCTAGTTCTGGACTTCAAACCTTCCAATATAAGAATATGGATCCACAATCGAGATATAGGGAAACTACAACAGGTCCTGTGGGAAGGCCATGGCAACAAATTACGCATGGAGACGAGCAACAATCTGCGAGTGAAAAGATTCTTAGAAGCCGTACCATTCATAATGGTTCGTATTAACGTTCAAATTCTTTAACACGTATAATAAGATTGTTACGTACGTAATATGCAACGCGATGTAATGTAAGTTTAATGTAATGGTAAAAAATCGTTTTACAGAGTACAACGAAAGATATTCACGCAGCTACGGTGAATAACGATTTAGAGGGGCTGAGGGGCACGGTCGAGGCCTCGTCGCCCATCGTTCTTTGCGCCAAAGACGGCAACGGCTTGAACGCCTTGCACAAGGTATACACTTTCTAATTCTACTCTTTTTCTTCTTTCTTTATCGGAAAGTTTGGCAATCGACAGGCTGCTGGTTTGGGTCACACGGAAATCGCGAGGGAAATTCTTGAAAAATGGCCTTTCGTTGTGGAGGCGCAGGATAACGATGGCAAGACGCCGTTACATTATGCGGCTGCAGCAAAAGACGATGGAACGTTATATAATTTGATAACGGAATATGGAGCCGATGAGAGCAAATTAGATCACGTGAGTGCCTGGAATCAACCTTCGGATAATCGATAAATAAACGATTGTTCCGGATGGTGTAGAAAATGAAACTCGGAGATTAGAGAAATTAGCGAAAATGATATTTCTTTCGCTATTCCCCCGAGATAAAAGAAAGTTAAATTTAAATCTTGAAATTTGTTAATCAGAAACAAAAGGCGCCGGCGTTTTACAAAAATCGGCCATCGGATATCGACCAATCGCTGTTAACTGTGATACCGGAAGCACCTCGAGTTGCCGGATCTTCGTATCCCAAACACTGGGACTGGAGGATTCTAGAAGCGGAACAAGCTATATCCAAAGGAATGAAAAAAGCCAGCAGTGCGAATATCGATAGCGCATTTGGTAGCGCGGAGTCGACAACGAAAAACTTGAGTAGATCTATGGAACAAGTAATCGCTCACGACGATATTTTTATTATAACTGGACTGCGAATTTTTATGCATTTACGGGAAACTTCGTTTTTATGCATATGTGGCAAAATATATATCGAAAGTATGGCACTTGTTGCGATATAGCTATCCAATGGCCGAAACAAGCTTCCGCTCAAGTTCCAATTGCTTGATCTTCCATTTGTTTAATCGTATTTACGAAATTTTACGAAATTTTACGAAATTTTACGAAATTTTACGAAATTTTACGAAATTTTACGAAATTTTACGTATTTGCGTAAATGTCTGCAGTCTGATTATAATAAATTGTAAAATTCTAAAACATTTTAGAATTTTAATTTAAGAACCGAAATTCTACGATTCTCCGTAACACGATTCCTTTTATTAGCGACAAAAATCGAAAAATAATCTTCTAGAGTTTTTATTTCGAGATTCGAAGAATCAGATAAATTAATCATTTTATGAAACAGATAAAAAATGTCGAGGAGGATCACGAGAAGGAGCAACAGGGAAACGCAGAAGACACAGAAAATCATGAAGGTGCAGAAGATGCAGAAGATGCAGAAGATGCGGCCAATAGAGAAAGCGCGGAACCTGCTGAAAATACGGGAGATACGGAAAATGCGGAAAATACGGAAAATGCGGAAAATACGGAAAATGCGGAAAATACGGAAAATACGGAAAATACAGAGGAAGGGGAGGCAGAACGTGAGAACGTGGAACATGCAGAAGAATCCAAAGAACCAGAAACCACGGAAAATAAGGAAGAACACGAGGGAGCAAACACTCCCGAAGACACTGAAGAGAGGTCCTCGGACGATGACGTGGTAACAGGTACAGCGGTCCCGGAAACCGAGGAAAATTCCAATGCGGAGAACGAAGCTGCGGAGGAGCTGAAGCCAAAGGGAATAGAAGGTGAGGAAGAGAGGAAAGAAGAAGAAGAGAAAGAGGAAGAGGAGGAGGAAGAGGAAGAAGAGGAGAAAGAGGAAGGAGAGCCTACAGACACGGAGGGAGCCCCGAAAATGGAAGAGGCCATCGAGCAGCAGAAGGGAAACAAAGCGGAGGAAGAAGAAAGAAACGAGCCGAGTACAGGCGACTCTGGTGTTGATGATCCAGGGAACGACGAAGACCAGGTACAGTCATCCTAACTCTTAAACGAATCGAATTTTCAGGAATTGCCTAGCACAAAAGTATAAACTTATGGTTTATGATAAGACTTGTATCGTTGAGCGAGAGACATAAAAAAGTATAAAATAAGTAGTAATGTTATAACGTGATCTTAGTATCGGTAGAAATAGAGAAATATAAATATAGGGTCGAAAGGCAGAAGACGTTGGTAGATCCTATGATAGGTTTCGATTATTCTTTCGTGTATAGTTAGGTAGCTTACAGGTATAACGAGCGATTTACGGTTGCTGTTGCAAGTGACAGGATGTAATTAGGCTATCATGTATATCGAAAGTAAAGAATGATCGATATTATAACAGTATATTTTCTCTTTGTCACGCACAAATATATGCCAATAAATAAATAACTAAGCAAGGAACTTCTGTTATGACTTTTGCGCACTACAGACCCAGACAAACGCATGGAAATGTATATTTTGTTTTTCATTAATTTTAGTCGAGATGCTAAAGATACGGCAACTACCGCATTGCATGCCACGTTCTTTTCAATAATTTGGATGTTCATCGTTGCGTTTCTCGAAATCGTATTAAAGTATGACGACATGGCAAATATGGAAGAATCGAGTCATCATTTTATAGAAACAACAAGTAATAACAAATACAAGTTCTCAGTATGAAAATCCTCTTGATTTCTTTTCTTTTCTTTTCTTTTCTTTTCTTTTCTTTTCTTTTCTTTTCTTTTCTTTTCTTTTCTTTTTTACTTTTATTACTTATATATTTACTTCGCCATTTCTCACGAATCTGAAACGCGTAATATACGAATATCTAAATATTAAACATTCAATTCGTCGAAAACTATCCTTAAAATGTAATTCTCGGCTAATCGTGTCCATATCTAATCGTCAATCTCTAAAGCTACCCTCTAAATCGGCTACCTCGTTGGCAGTTAATCGGTGAAAAAGCCAGCCAGAACAGATACTGTTCCATTCGTCCTACTCTACCATCCAATTACCAAAATCAGCCAACACTAAACACACCTGTGAATAGACAAAGAAACGACTTATTCGATAGTCGATCGTGTTTCGCGCAAACAGCGTACGAGCTTTGCTCGTAATGGAGAACGATCGATTTGCCGCATCTAGATTGCGAGCTACGATTAATATTGTCGCGTATCGATCGGCACGAGTCGTTGGTGCGCATGGTTTTGCACCTGGAAATGATTAGCAGGTAATCGTCGGCGAACACGAGGAGCTTCCGCAAGCAGAAGTAAACGAGGGCAGCATGACGGCGGACCCGGAAATCGAGAAGCTGCTGGAGACCGGCAACATGGAGCAATTGGCCGCGTTAGTGTTAAGTGGCGAAGGCAGAAGACTGGTCGGCCGACATTCGGGCAATCCTGAGCTGCAGGCATTCATCGATCGTGTCCCTTCTTACATGGTATTGCGTACAAAAGCACTCGTCTTTTCCCTCGTGTCGCGTCTCTCGACGCAAACAGAGGTTTGCGAAAAGAGTTTCGTGGAAAACGTAAATGACGACAAATTGGTCTTGATCGGTTTGCCTGTGTCGACTGGTTAATCGGTAACGCGTCGTCCACGCGTCGTAGCGAGTCTGTTTAATTTAGAGTTTTTCACGGCCACGCGGCGGAACGATAGTTATAACGGTGGCACAAGTGACGCTAAAAGCGCGAAAGCAATTTGAAAATAAAACAGATGTTGGCGGAACATTGAAAAAATATGCGAAATATAAAATATAAGCCAAAAAGATACACAAGCATAAAGGAAGTTTCTCGGGCTATTAACTATCTTTCGTTACTGACCAATCTTTGTCCATTCGTTGTTTCACCCAAGACGATCGAGTTGTATCGATCCGCGCGATTCGATCGATTCATTCACACCTTTCATATATAGATACCTTTCGTATACCTATGATGCTCTATCTATGTGGTAATGTGGAAATAACGTAGGAAATAACGTGGAAATCTACGTAGTAGATGATACTCGATGCTTGCAGAACGTACGATCGATATTAAACGTTTCGGATTCTTTTGCGTCTTCCTTCCACCTTCTCTTTACCACCAATCTATCCTTATTCTTCTAGTATTATACATACGTATATGTGAAAGCGTATATCGTATTACCTAACGCGTTGAAAATTTTACGGCTCCTTTTTTTATTATTATTTTAACACAGTGCTCAATGTTTTGCGAATGTTGCGCCAACCGCTGTGCACCTTGCGTGCCGTTATAGTTACTCGTATCGAATAGTCGTTGACTTATCCAGATCAATTAGGTAACCAGTCGTGTTTTCAACGACTAATTCGTAGCTCTCGAAAGAGATTACTGTTTTTTAACGATCGTTCGTTTCAGGGGAAAATTCATGCTGTACACATGGCAGCGCAAGAAGGAAACCTGAGAGATCTGCAGAGCGCCTTAGATCGGCGCAAATTTGCCGTTGCGAGAGACGGGTCATCGCCGCACGGCGCAACGCCTCTTCACGTTGCTGTTGTATTTGGAAACACCACCGTTATCAGGTAAATTAATATGGAAATTTAATGGACAATTAACGAAATCGAAAGCACGCAAGCGAAACGAACATTTTTCGCCTTTCCTTTAGATATCTGGCAGGCAGGTTTCCAGAAACCGCGCATGCGATCGATCTCGATGGCCGAACTCCTTTGCACTATGCAGCCACCATAGCGGACAACGGCCATTACTACAATCTTCTACTTCATTTGGGTGCCAATCCTTTAGTTCAAGACAATGTGAGTACATTGTATCGATAAGCCAGCGTCTTTCATAGGTTTAAGTAAAGGAAGCCAGATCGATATTGGACACGAGTATGCATAAATATGGATAAGTATGGATAAATTGATTTAAAAACTGATTAAAAATCGATGTATGTATTGCTAATTTTACGATTGGTGCAGCTGGGTCAAAAGGCGGACTATTACAAACAGAACCAATCGGAATTTTCCCATAAATCGCTTCTCCGCGATTTCGGAGTTAACGAGAAGCTCGCCGACGAGATGTTGGTGGACAAAGGTATTTTATTCAAACAACGCACTTACCAGCACCAGCATCGTTCACTAACAAACTGTACTCCGTGCTACGATCGTTTACAGCGATTTGCGTTTTTGCTCTGGAAACATAGAAATACCATCTAAACTGTTTTAGTTGCCGAACATGGACCAACTTGTAGTTATCGATCGTCATCGTCACGTTGTTTTTTCGCACGCGTTAGTTTTCCCATCGTCTATCAAGATCGTCGTCGCAATTTACATAATCTTTCTTATACAGTAATCGAAAGGTATTTGCCCCGTAACCAGAGAACGGTCGATTAATTTAGCGACAAAGATGTTGGAAAAATTAATTAGAAAAATGTTTAGTCGAAAGAATCGATTAAAATCGATTATAAGGTGGTAGAATTTGCTGACACGTTCAACAACCAAGACAACGTAAATAATTATTCTTGACTGATGATAATTGATTAATCTATTGTTCACGTTTGTTCGGTCGCACGTTAATCGGTTGTTCACGTTTTCGCTTCTTCCATTTCTTCCACCGTCGGACGTCCTCGCGCTGATCTGCACGTTCGAGGAAAACAGTTCCCGGAGGCGACACGTATTCCGCGCGTCGAGACATAACCGAACCAGAGACCCTGGCTACCTTGGAGAGATGTTTCCGTCTTCTGATCGGCGTAAGACACGGTACGACGCCAAAATCTGCCGGGAACTCCGGCACACTGATCGGCCGTTGCCTGAAACGGCCCGTATTCGATCGTATCAAGCACCGTGTGACACGCATGGACCACAATCTCTTTGATGTGATCTGGCCCGCTTTAAAAAAATACGGTAACTCGGCTTACAACAGCAAGGCGGGCAGCGCTTATTCGGTGGTCAGCAACGTGGACGAGCACGAGTCTGTGTCGGTGGTAGCGCCGGACTACGAAAGTTACATCGTGTTCGCAGACTTTTTCGACCCTTTGATCAGGGACATACATTGCGTGACTGCCAGCGGTGATCTTCCCGACCACCCTCCGCCCAGGTTCTTTTACAACGAGAACGACGACAGCGAAGAGAATGCCGACACGTTGGACGAAGTGACAGTGTCGGC